ATCACGCAATAAAAACCAAGACTACAACGGTTTAAAGCTAAAATGAGCAAATGTGTAGCTAAAAGCTAAAAATTAATCAAGTACACCTAAAAAGATTTCAAAGAGCATAAAGTTTAAGGATTTACGGGTTTCCCTTTTATATAAGTTACAAAGAACTCTAAGCTAAATGTTTTGAGATATGAATATGAAATAAAGTATGTTGTTATATTTAAAGGTCTAGAACACGTATGGAAACAAAAACCCGGTCCGGGGCCTTTTCTGGGTGAAGTTTGCATGTTCTCTCTGTGCATGAGTGGGATTTCCCCGGATACTCCGGTTTCCTCCCACACACCAATAACATACATGTTAGGCTGATTGGTAACTCTAAATTGTCTCTAGGTGTGAATGAGAGAGTGAATGGTTGTTTGTCTCTATGTGTCCCTGTGATGGACTGGAGACCCGTCCATCTCAGTCTGGTCTTTCTAACTTTATCTCCCAGTTGTTCCACCTGTGTTGTACCTCTGATGATCTCATTCATAATCTCATCCATCCTCGGCACGCCTAAGGAGAACCTCAACATCTTCATTTATGCCACTTCCAGTTCTGTCTCCTGTCTTTTTGTCCATGTCTCTGTCCCCAGACCATACAACATAAATGATCTCACCACTGTCTTGTAAACGTTTCCTTTGACCTTTGCTGACACACTTTTTTTTTTTTATCACAATTCACTCCTGAAACTTTTTCTCTATCCACTCCATCCTGCCTGGACTCTCTTCTTCACCACACTCCCCATTTTCCTGGACAGTGGACCACAAGTACTTGAAGTCCTGCACCTTTGTGACCTCTGCTCCTTGTAGCCTCACTGTTCCACCGGCCTCCCTCTCATTCACACATGTACTCTCTCTTACTACGCCTGACTTTCATTCCTCTTCTTTCAAGTGCATACCTGCACCTCTCCAGGTTCTCTTCCACCTGTTCCCCGTTCTCATCACAGATCATACTAAAATACAAATGTCACAAAAAAAAAAAAGAACCATGAACAGAAAAAGCTTCTATTGTATTTTTTAAATTGTAATTTTAATATAGTTTCTCATATCCGTGCTTTTCTAAATAAGAATGTGAAAGACAGAGGAAGGAAATCTGTCCTGATATGGCCATATAGTTGAATTCAAGGGATATTGTAAACTAATAATATTTATCAATAATCAAACAAGGGCTGACGTGGCAGCAAAACTTACATGTATAACGAGGGATCGTGGAGACATGGAGGAAGACAGAACATGACGCCTTAGAGGAGAATCCGCTGACAGACGAGCAATAAGGAAACACAAAATGCTAACAAGGAAATAATTAGAAACACCTGGAGGAGGACAACAAGGGACAGGTGCAGCAGGAGTTGGTATCATGACGGAAACACACTGAAGAAGACTGAATAGATGACAGAAGACAATCCCGCATAACACACAGCTCGTCTCAAACTCCAGATTAAAATAAGTTCAAACATACATTAATTCAGGTTCATCAGACAAGCATTTGTGGGAAATATGGTCTGAGAACCAGCCAGTGAGAAAATTTACATCCAATCCTTAATGCCCTCAACTTAAAAACAAAACAAGCAAAAATAAGTTTAATGTTCAACAATGTATTGATAAATTAAAAATAACTGGAGAAAGTCACCTAATCCAAAACTTTTGCACAAAAAAACATGTCAAGTTTTATTTAAAGGTTGAGGTGTTCAAAGAAACAAATCCAAGATGTTTCAGTAAAAGAGCAGAAAAGAACACACTTTCTCAACGGAGCTGATATTTAAATATTTTATATCAAAAACGTCAGTTCAGCCAGAAAGGCCCAAAAGCCATCGCTCCATCAGAACACGAGCTAAAAAACATCAAGTCTGTTCCTTTCTGAGCATCTAATGGGGACACAACATGTTTGACACCCCCTCAAGGTTATTAAAAGGTGTTATATCTCTGCAGATGCAACAGGGTGTGAAAGGGGGGGTGGGGGGGTCTGAAAGGAGCCTCAGGATGTGACAGGATTGACTCTACAGAAGGTACACCTCTAAATGAGCTCTTTCAGATTCTTTCTTTCTAATGTACCATCTTATTTTACAGTATTATTGTTATGATCCTTGTACTGTATACTGTTTCTTTCTATACTTTATATTAGGGATGCACAATATTATAGGCATGGTATTGTATCGGCCGATATTAGCGATAAAGTTAAATATCGGCCATCTGCCATTCCATCAAAATAACTCACCGATATAAAAGACACTCTTCATATATATATATATATATATATATATATATATATATGAACGACGCTGTTTTTCTATGACAACCCAGTGACAAGGATGTCTGCAGTGTCAGCACAGCATTATGACATCACACACGCCGTTGAGTTTAGATTTATGAAAATTTACAAATTTGCTCTGTTTGAGTGTTGTCATTATGTGTGTGTGTGTGTGTGTGTATTGTCATCATATGTTCCCATACAATGGAAAAATTGGCTCTCTGCATTTAACCCATCCACCACCAGGTGGAGCAGTGTGCAGCTATTGAAAGCGCCGGGGAGCGACTGGGGATAAGGTGTCCTGCTCAGAGACAACACGAGATGTGCAATGACCGGGGATCAAACCTGGGACCTTCGGGTCCCAAGTCGGCTGCCCTGTCCCTAGACCATGTGTTAGAGAGAGTAAATGCCCTGAATAAATTTGACATTAAACATAATCCAAGTTGAAGTGTTACATCATTTTCTGTCCATTTTTGGCATCTGCATTTGGTAACAGGCCAAACTGACAAAGACCATGCAGAATAATGTAGAATTTAATTCCACAGCAGAGAAAGCTCTGTAATCTCTGTAAGTAGGTCTAGGGAAAAAATTATCGGTAATGAAATCGGTTATCAGCCAAATAAATTTTAACATATCAGATATTGGCCAAAAATCTAATATCGTGCATCCCTACTTTATATTTTTGCTATTTTTGAGTGTAACTGGGACCTTGAGTACACAATTTCGTTCCGCCTGCATGCGATGCGAATGACAATAAAGAACCTTGAACCTTCTTGTCTCCTGAATGTACATGTAAGAGTTTGTGAAATCTTAACAGTGACAGAGGATGAAATTAAGGATTTTTAAGTTTAATATAATTAAACTCCTCTGTACTTTCGTTATGAAGGAGCTCACTTTCTCTAAAGGAAAATGTGTTGGTGAGGTCCTTCCTTAAAGATGGATTTATTTAAAATGTTGGATTTTGGCTCCATTTTATTCACATCCATGCTGCATATCAACAGGCATTTTTATTGCAAGTTTCCCACCTGGGCCTGCCATCTTCCAGCATTTTGTGCGTGTCGACTAAGACAGGTTTAACGTCCTGTTGAACAAAAAGCACAACAGGTTTGTGCAATTTTGACTTTGAACATACAGTATTTTCTGCAATCAAAGATGACCAAGGCACTCTGCTTACTCCCTCAACTATTAAAATGCCATTTCATAAAGGCAACTATAGACTCAGACACCTTTGAGGTTTGAGGATTGAACACTTTATTCACACCATTATGCAACCTGAGCCGGCAAAGCCATCTCTAGAGACCAGTGCTTTCCTTTGAGGTGCTAAATCAACTCTGCGATGGAGCAGCAGCGCTTGCATCTTAATGAAAGACTTACTGTCTTTCTGCAGAGGTAGACTCAACACTAATTCGTTGAAATATAAGCTGGTGTTTCACCGACCGATTCAATAACACTACGTTTTCAATCTCATCACTGTGGGCTGTCAATCGTCCTGTCACACTGTTCCTGCTGGTTGCCTGAAATAGAAATAAAATGACACTAAGCAGATCTGGGCTGTATATTTTTTAATAGGCTGTCCTGCACAGTGTCAGGTGTTGTGGAATTCATTTACTAAGGCTCTAAGGGTGTCTAATTTTCACCTGCAAAGCAAAACTCATGAGTCATGAATATATCTAAATTATAAAACTCAAGGCATCATGAAACTGAACTCACCGTGGCTCACTTATATAGGAACTTTATGTGCAAAGAGCTTCAGGGTGCAGGCAGGGAACATCAAAGAGAATAAACTTACAATCTCCCATGAAAAAAAAAAGCTTTTAATGTAATTAGATGGTAAAGTAACAGCAGATACCACACTATATCTAGTCTACACTATTGACCTCTCAGAGTCAATGTTTGACAGCTAATTCAGAGACTGTTAATGGAGCAAATAAAACTGCCTTTCTCTGGTCACCTGGTGTTTGTTGAGGCACAAACCTCATAACTCCATAACATCATCAATCATTCCTTGAAGGAATACAAATCGCCTGCTGCCTTTCAGGCCAGAGTTTTAGACTAAGACCATTTTATGGGTCAAATCTTGAAAATAACATGATGTTAGCACTTCGTATGTATTGAAAATGATTCTCAGCTACTACAGTACCAAATTTTAGCTCAGCATCTAAAATTATTGGCTGAATTTGAGCCATTTTTGTGTTGTCTAAGGTCAGCTTGCTTTAGCCAACATGGTGAATTTGATTGAGGCCAAATCTTAATCAGCTCAGATGTACATCTAAAGGTTGTTTTCTGGATTTAAAAAAAAATCTGATTCATGAGATATTTTGCTAACAGAGTTTACCCAAGTAGTTAAAACACATATCTCACGTGATTAGTTTGTGCTCAATGTATAGTTGGGAATCAGTCTCAGCTACTACCACACCAAATTTTAGCTATCTACAGTATATCTATAAATTTGACAGAGAACGTGCTACCTTTAAGTTGTGTCGGATATCTGCCCAATAAGGTGCATTAAGTCCGAAATGAATACGTGAAATTGATTATTAAAAAAACGACATTTCTCAAGAAAAAGATAAACGATAAAATATTCAGACTTGATTATTTATTTTTCTCTTGTATCTCACATATCTCCAACTCCTAAAGCATTTTTAAAACGTCAGTATTGGTAGTCTGCTGGATAACCGAGCTTTTGAAGTTATCAGTGAACGCAACACTAATGACGTATGCGGACATTCCGGCCGGCTTCGACCTCCGTTCACAAGTTAGCTTAAAGCGAAATCTGTCAGTCTTTCGCTGTCATCCATGAGTTATTACGGACAAATATTTCTATATTGTAAATAAATCCAGTCGGTAAAATGTCTGTGGCTTGTCTGAGCAGAAATGTTATGGCTTTTAGGCGTCCTGGTATGATGATGGTGAGTACAAAACAAATTCTGAGCTTGTTTTTTGATTGAGTTTTTCTTGTTTTTACATCTGTGCTTTAGCTTTTTGTGCTAAGCAAAAACAGTTGAGTTAAATTAGCACTGTAAACAAACTGAAACGTGACACGTTGCTCTCGTGCCTCAGTCTGCATCTGCTACAGTGCTACAAATGACCATAACTAGAAAATGACAGCAAAGTCAGGATTTTCTGCCCATTCCTATTCCATAATACATAGATATGTTTATTAAGCAGATGAGTTTTGATACACAAACATCGATCTGCACTTCCAAACCAAAATACTTAAGTCGCTGTCCTTCACGTGAATATTTTTGTCCTGGAAGTTAAGTAATCTTTGAACAGTTGTGACGTAACCTTTCTGTTGTTCACCCAAACTACCACTAGGTGGAGACTCTGCACTTTCTAATAGGTACCGTACACTTTATTATACCCAACAATGGGAATCTTTCTTTGTTGCAGCAACAGACAAAAATTCAACTACAGATTAAAGAAGATAGATTTGTAAGCTCAATCATCCAGGTAGATAACAAAACAAACAAAAAGTTAAATCATGTCACCTGGACCAGGTTATTTAAGGGAGAAACATTTCGTCTTCCATCCAGAAGACTTCATCAGTCTGCAGCCTGCCAACCAGATCTGTGTCATAAGTGGCCTTCATTGTAATGTTTCAAGACAACCTCTTGTTGGAATCTCAGAAGCAGGCTTTTAACGCACGCAAAAGGACCCATCTGCCCAAAACAACAAAAGTTTAAAAATTAAAACTACCGTACAATAGAAGTCAAAATGTGATTTAAACTGTGCAAAACTGAGCATTCATTGCAATTTGATGTGACCGATTTCGTGGAGTGTGATGGCTTAATGCAAAGGTGAAATAAAAGTTAACTTGGTGGTTAGTGCAGGTGGTGGTCTTATACTCCTGAGGCTGTGGGTTTGAGACCAGGTTGGGTCATGAAGGGCATCAGGTGTAAAACAATTGTCAAATGTTTCATGTGAGTTTGATCGCTGTGGCAACTCCTGCAGAAGAGAGCAGCGGAAAGTTATGTTTTCAAACATGTATATATGAAGTAATGCAATGCTAACATAGATAAATGTAATTGTTCCCCTTTTTGTGTGTAATTATTTCTTTGCACTTCTCTACAGACGTTTGGTTTTCTTGTTTGTGAAAGATTTAATTGATGTAAATAGATACTTTTATGACATTTTGATTGTTCTCTGCAAATTAGATGGTGCGGTACGCTCAGACTGCAGCCGCTCCGGCTCCTGCACCCAGGATCAAGAATTTCCAGATTTACCGCTGGGACCCGGACACCCCCGGAGACAAACCACGAATGCAGACATACGAAATTGATCTCAACACGTAAGTTATGACTGAATCAAGTAAACGGAAAGAACGCTGCTGAGCTGTATTTTACTTTATAGATTCTCACAATTAAATGCCACCGTTGTGTGTTTGACTGTAATCCTGTGAACACAGTTGTGGTCCAATGGTTCTGGACGCCCTCATCAAGATCAAGAATGAAATTGATCCCACGCTCACTTTCAGACGTTCCTGCCGTGAGGGTAAGGATCTCAAATCTATCTGATCTTGACTTGCAAAGGTTCCCTTCAGGTGAAATGTGAATCTGGATGATCTGAGTGTATTAAGGGTCTAACTATTTATGGGTTGCTTCAGGTATCTGTGGCTCATGTGCCATGAACATAAACGGAGGCAACACTCTGGCATGCCTTAACAAAATCAACACCGACAACGACAAACCCATTAAAATCTACCCTCTGCCACACATGTATGTCGTGAAAGATCTGGTGCCTGTAAGTTTTTATTTTTATATTTATATTACTAGTCATCTTAATGGCTTAAATGATTAAAACTGTCGTGTTCTTGTCATTATTTCCATCAGGACATGAGCAACTTTTATGCACAGTACAAATCCATCGAGCCGTACCTGAAAAAGAAGGATGAAAGTCAGGAGGGGAAGGAGCAGTATTTCCAGTCAGTGGACGACCGACAAAAACTGGTAAATAAACCAACTTCATACTGTAGTCCGAACAGATCCCGAACACGTCCACAACAATCGTAAATGCGATCAACTGGTGTTTGCTTTGGCTTTAATGTTAACTTGGCCAGAATGAAAAGTTAAATCACTGCTGAGGATTTTCTAATTCAATATTTGGTCTTGTACTCAAATTTCTCACGCCTCTAAAATAATTGCCACATTTTCCAGCGTATAAGTCTCAGTTTTTTGCGTAAATTAGCATGCCTGCGACTTATACAGTGAAGAGACTTTATTTACGTTTTTTCCTCCATATTTATAATCCAATTTTTGGTTGAGATCTGACAATTTCATTCATTCCGACATGGAAAATATTGAACACTACCATTTTCAGCCACTAGAGGGCCCTCGACTTATATGACAATTCATGTGTCTCAATCATTCATTCATTCAAATTTTATTTGTTAATAGGTAAAAGAGGCTATTAATGAGACACTTGGCTTGCCATACAAAGCCACCTTCGTCTCGCTCCGAAACTCCTGGAGCAAACGTCAACTCAGCTGCACTTTTCCTCTTTATTAGACATATTTGGACTGATGCAACTTATACCGTGGTGCGACGTGTATGGCAGAAAATACGGTATACTTAAAGTGATGGTGGGATACTTGGACTGTTGTCCAACTGGTTACTGGAGAGAACGTTTAAACAAGTGGCACTATTAACTGAAAAAACTTACTACTATTACTTTTAATATATGTAGTATAATGGTACAGAGAGCAAAGAAACGCTTTTTGTGAGTTGGTGTCAGTTAACAGCAGAAATTTTAAAGTATAATTTAGAGAATTTAGAGATTTTAATAGTAATTTAGAGTATTTGGAGCTACAGAAGGTTAGAAAAACAATCTTTAATTTGTGAGATTAGTGTCAGAATCGCTTTATTTCCAAATGCTTTTGAAAGATATAAAGAATTTGTCCTTGTGTGTGCTTACGTGTTCAGCTAGCAACAGATTACCGGGTATACAATATTTACGTAAACTAGCTATAATATCTAGATACAGTAAAGTACATATTATCTCAATAATATTATAGTAAATTAAACAATAGATAAGAAAAGATATAATGAACAAAAAAATGTTATTTATACCATAACAAAGAATTTTACAAGATATTTAATGGCTAATTTACTGTTAATTTTCCTCATATCTAAGTTTAAGATGAATACAATCTTAAACTGGAGATTTCTTTTGAGGACTGTGTTTGGGTTTATCAAATGAGCTTCATACTGGTATCACACTCACTTCCTGGTTTTATTTTATTTTCATGTTTGCACTCTGCGCCTCTGTTAAATTTCAGGAGGTAAATATTACGGAGCCACAAAAGGCCACAGAGAAAGCTGAAGGTTTGATGTCTGTGTTTTCGACAGGACGGCTTGTATGAGTGCATCCTTTGTGCTTGCTGCAGCACCAGCTGCCCCAGCTACTGGTGGAACGGAGACAAATACCTGGGACCTGCTGTCCTCATGCAGGTAGAGCATTTTTAGTCATGAAGTTTATATTCCAGTCGTTCAAATATAAAATAACCGTCATTATGCAACTATAGTTCAATTCACTTCCATTCAATTTATTGATAAAGCACCAAGTCACAACAGAAGTCATCTCAGGGCACGGAATAAAAACATTCATATATATAAAAAATAAGTTAACACAATTTATCTGAGGAGCAGACTGCTTTGAATTTAACTCCATCACAGACTCATCTTGAGCAAGCATGAAGGCGACAGTGGAAAGGAAAAGCTCCCTCATGAGGAAGAAACCTTTAGCAGAACCAGGCTCAGGACAAGCGTCCATCTGCTTCAACCAGCTGGGTTTGAGAGGAACAGATACACAATGGCAGGTCGAGAATCACATGTTAAGATAGAAATAGTATCAAATGTAAAGTATTCAGTTTTAGCAAATCGTTTAAGGAAATGAGGTCAGTTTGTCCTCCAGTTGTCTAAGCCTATAGCAGCATAACAAGCCAACCCTAACTATAGGATTTATTAAAAAAAGGAAAGTCTTAATCCCAGTTTTAAAACTGGTCAATGTGTCAGCCTCACAGACAGAAACTGGAAGTTGGTTCCACAAGAGAGGAGCCTGATAACTGAAAGATCTTCCTCCCATTCTGCTTGTGGAAACTCTAGGAACCACAAGTAAACCTGCAGTCTGAGAGTTAAGTGCTCTGTTAGGAAAATATGGTACAACAAGATCTCGATTTAAGATGGAGCTAGGTTGTTGAGAGCTTTGTAGGTTAGAAAAGAGATTTTGAATTCAATTCTGGACTTGACAGAGAGCCAATGGAGAGAAGCTAAAACTGGAGAGATATGATCTCTCCCACTAACTCCAGTTAAGACTCTGGCAGCAGCATTTTGGATTAATAGAAGATTTTTACAGACGTATTTGGACACCCAGATAGTAAACTGTTGCAATAATCCATAATCTATAGTTGAAAGCAATCATAAAAGGACTAGTGTTGGTTGAGTTGGTTCAGACTCTGATGGGTTTGTCAGCCTCAGATAATTTTGTTTTGAGTTTAAACCTAAAGTTTGAGTTAAATGTTGAAGATATTTTATCTTGCTGAGGCTGTTTATATAATCATAAGGCATATGTCAGTTATTAGAAGTAAATTAAATCTGTATCACGTTAAGTAGAAAAACCCTGAACTCTGTTGTTGTCTCCCAGGCGTACCGATGGATGATTGACTCCCGTGATGAGTTCACCGAGGAGCGTCTGTCTAAACTCCAGGACCCCTTCTCGCTCTACCGCTGCCACACCATCATGAACTGTACTAGGACTTGCCCCAAGGTACTTAAACCTCATTCATCTGCACTTTTCCCCGCATGTTCAAGAGCTTTGGCGTCTCATCTGTTCGTTCAACAAACTTCTCTGCAGGGTCTGAACCCAGGAAAGGCCATCGCAGAGATCAAGAAAATGATGTCGACCTACAAAGAGAAGAAAGCAGCAGCTTTATAAACATCTAGGAATGAAACCGGCTCAAAATTCTCTTCTTAAACTTCAAAACTGAGCTGGAGGGAAAAAAGACGAGCCAACCTCAAAGTTTTTTGCTACATTAGCACCTTTTAAAAACGTTTTTCTGACCTGTTTGTGTAAATGTTTTTCAGTGTTATTACCTAAATAGACTAAAAACACAAAGAGTGCTTTGTAAATTACCCCAAAGTGAAATGTATTTGAAATAAATCAACAGGTTTGCATGGTTGATGGGAGCTCAGTTTGTGAAATATGCAAATAATGTTTGATCAGAAAACTGCTTTTGCTAATTCTGTTCCACATTAAACATGAATACTGGAACATCTCACAGGAAAACTTTGGTTTCTTTAAATAATTTTGCATCTCATTTTGGTTTATCAAAGGAGGATTACAGGAAACACTGAGCCAACTCATGAATCTACATACAAATAAATTCACATAATGTGATTATAGACATTTATTGTATAAACAACTACACTTAACTGTGTTTTTAGAAACTTTTACTTGAAATAATATGAGTGATGATACTCATAAGATGATTCGTTTTTATATTTTCAGAGTAGTCAAAGGAAAAAAACATCCAAAAATTCAACTTTGGATGTTTGTTTTATAGCAATTTAATCCTCATTGGATGAATATTTAAACCAAATATTGAGAAATTTCAATTATATTTTCAGAAATCATAAACTACATATAGACCAAGTACAAACTGGTGACGTGTGTTAGTTTTAAACTTGTCTCTAATAAAAAACATGTTATTGAACATGATTTGTACAGAACCAACAAAAAAAAAACTACATGAGTACATGTGAAGTTTATTTTTGCAAGTTTACTTTAAGTTAAGTATAATTATATCAAGTATACTACACACCATACCTATAGTGTACTAGAAGAATACTGATTTAATACTTGCATGGACTAAATTGGGACATTTTTATACTATTTTTAAGTATATCAAATAAAGTTTATAAAAAGTAAATTTCAAGCACACTTCCTCATTTTTAATGTAAAATAAGTATACTTGAACTACTTTTTGCTAAGGGTATCCCATTTCCTGCTCTGGATCCAACAAACATAACTGGAAATATGAGGGTGAGGAGTAACAATAATATAATAAATGTTTTTAAAAATGGTGGTATTAAAAATATAATAAAAGGAATACATCTTTACATTTTGTGATTGTTATATTGTTATGACCATCAATATTGATAGTGTATTATAAATAGTTGTTTTGTATTATGCAGCAACAACTTTTTATGTATTTATAAGTTTATAGTACCCATAACAATATAACAATCACAAAATGTATATATATATACTTGACACATTTACTACTTTATATAGACTTTTGATTAGAAAATTAACTTTCCAACAGGAAATGATCTGTTCATTATTTTATTTGCTCATCACAATCGCATAAGTAATTGTTTAAAAAGTTTCTCTGTAACATCACTGTGAACCTCTTGAAACTATATAACCATGTTTAATGGCTGAAATGTTTGAAATAATCTATTCGTTCAGTTTAAAAGCAGAAAATAACGATTTCTCGATGAACGTCAAACGCGTAAGACCTTTTTGGACGTTCAGACTTGCCGTAGAGAGTGCTACGGGTGGCTGTCGTTTTTTTTTTTTTTTTTTTTCTCGAGGTTTTCGAGTTCTGTTGGGACACCGAGCTCCTTTTCCCGGAGGTATGTGGAGGCAGTCATCGTGACAAAAGGATGAACAAACATGGTAGGTGCTTCTGGACGCTTTTAATTCACATTTTTACCCCAGTGAACTGTCGGGACTGTCGTTACTAACCGTTAGCCGCCTGGTGTCGCGCTAAAGTGGAGGGAACCAGGCTGTTGTTCCAACTGTCTCTTGAACCCAGACAGTTATCAAGTGATTTTAAAACCATGACAGAAAAGCTCCTGTGTGTACACAGCATAATACAACTGAAAGAAAGCTCAAGCGTGGTGAAAAACCTCATAAAAACTAGTCAACACTACAACTTCTTGATTGTTTGGTTGTTGATTTAAATTTGATATTTTGATTTGACCTACAAAACAGAATATGATTTATTATGGCTCTACTGACAGCCTATTTTATATTTCATTCACTGATCTCACTACTGTTTGACTACCTTAAGTAGTTTTAATGGACTGTGTGGCCTTAACTAGCTTCCCTTAGTATGTGATCCACAATGTAAACAAAGTCATCTGCTCACCTTAACTATAATTGGCTCCAAAATTAAAGGTAATCATTGCAAATTTTGAAATAAAACATAAAAAAAAAGGTTATCCTGAGATATGTCAAACGGTGCAGTTTGACAGAGTTTGCTACGGTCGTTTTACAGATATATGGGATGCAATTTTGAAATGCGGGTCCACACTCAATATAAACAAAGCGCTGAATCCGTGAGAAAACAAACAAGCGTTAGCTTGAGTCACATGACTGGCCTACATTAAGCTGGCTGTAGTCCCTGTAGGTGAATAGATGTTGGAATTGGACGAGTAGCATCTATGAGATGTTTAGGTGTAAATGTCGGAGTCGATATGTTAATTTGAAGGAAAAGAGAACGATTAAGACAGCTGTGAAGAATAAATAACAGGAATCAAGCAGTGTGGAGCATCATAAAAGCAAAATATACTTTTTTAAAAATATAATATAACCAAGCAAAAATATCTACATATTACCCGACCGATATAGACATTTTGGCTATCATGATACCGATATTGGGAGGGGGCTACTGCTAATAACCGATATATTGGCTAAAAGTTTTGAGCTTTGTCCACCCCCAAGAATCTCTGTAAACGGCTACTTTTAAATCTGTTTTAACACTTGAAGTCTTGAAACGGTCTTCCTAACGTGTGTTCACATCTTCTATCCTCCACTGTTCACCATAAAGTTATCTCGTGTGTTATAAAAAAGAAACAAAGAAACGCCCTTCCCTGTTCATTGTTTAAACAGTCACGTATGGCATATTGACCGCAGCATCATTTTTTTGTTTCTTTGCAGAGAAGTAAAGCTTTCAGACAAACAACGTGTTGGAGAAAAATATTCTTGTTTTATCTCACTTACTCAAAAAGAGCCACGCTGGACAACAGAAGATTTGTAACCGGTTTTTACTTGCAAGGACAGATTTTCAGGACAGGTTACACAGATGTACAGGGAGTACACGCATGAAGCCCAGTCACAAGAATCTGCCACGGGCAGTGTGCGAAGCTTGTTTTTATACCTTATCAGTTCAGCCGAGCTCACACACTCGGAGGCGACCTTGAAGCAACAGCTGTGCCTGCAGCCTCAAATCAGCTCCTCATCCATCTCTCTCTGCTAACTCAAACATACGGTTCATGGGCAGAGTTAACATTCTCAGCCATAGTAGTTAAAAACATCCATAAACTTTGACCAAAAGTTCCCAAACACAATGCATTTCATTGAGGACGACAAAGATAACGTTACTAACACTGATATATGTTACTCTACGTTAGATTTATTGTTCTGCCTAAAGTTTTACGAGATCTGACCTATGATAGGTTATTTAAATATTAGCTTGCTAATGAGGTACGTAGCTAATGACAAGCGGGTTGGAGGAGGATTGAAGAGATTTTTATTTTTATTTTACAGATCAGTTACAATAAATTTACTGTGCTCTGTTCAGCAAAATACGCTACACAGTGTTGCTTCCTGCTTCGGCTGTGCTGTGAGTCGATTTGAAAGTAGTCCGCATGCACCCTCTGCTGGATACATTGCACAATTACGCCATTTGCAAGTAAGGACATGGCTCGTTCCCAGCATTTTACTGGTGAAAATTAGAAGTGTTTATATTGGCGTATACAGTAACAGGCCATTTATCCGCGATACCGATATTTACCTAAATGTCTATATTGGCCTAAAATATCGTTCTAAAATATCGGCCTAAAATATCGTTCTAAAATATTGTTCTAAAATATTGTTCTAAAATATTGTCCTAAAATATCGTCCTAAAATATCGTCCTTAAATATCGGCCTCAAATATCGGCCTCAAATATCGGCCTAAAATATCGTCCTAAAATATCGTCCTAAACTATCGTCCTCAAATATCGGCCTCAAATATCGGCCTCAAATATCATCCTCAAATATCGGCCTAAAATATCGTTCTAAAATATTGTCCTAAAATATCGTCCTCAAATATCGTCCTCAAATATCGGCCTAAAATATCGTTCTAAAATATTGTCCTAAAATATCGTCCTAAACTATCGTCCTAAAATATCGGCCATGTCGAAATATCAGTTGGGCTGTAACTTTAAATGAACTGTTAGGAGAACCAAATCATCAGAAATATTAAAGCTGCTGCCGGTGGCTTCATATGGTCACCATGGTAACCACACCTGTGCTTGTCACTCCCTGACTGTCATGTTAATGAGAGGCGGGAAGAAGCAGACTAAAATATAGGCATCAAACAAAGAGTCGTTATGCAAAGACTTTGAGGCAAATTGCACAAATTCTTGAGTTGTGAGCAGCAGAAGACTCTCAGGGTCAAACGTGGATTTTTATGTCTGCAGGATTTTATGTTAGGTATGACGAGTTAAACAAACCCTTAAGTTCCAGTTTTTGGAGAAAACAGTTTGAGCTCAAATTTAATTGAAGTTTGTGGAAGCGCGGGTGTACACACTGGGGCGATCTGAGAGAAAACATTAACTATGTAAGGAAGTGTGAAAGAATTTTTAAAAAGCCTGCATTTTGATGTATGAAATGTATATGTACTAAAAAAGTTGTGGAAGTAAAAAAAACTTTTTTGCAAAAGTTCAGACATTCTTAACGTTTCAAAAGTTATTATGACGTCGACGGTCAGTTGAACGACCCATGGAAAACTCTCAAAGAATTTATAAAACCCATCCGGTGACTGTAAAAGACATAAAAAACAAATCAATTATGGCATGTAATGTCCTTTTTTGTGTGACCCATTTAAACTTTAAATGTTTCCACTGAGAAGTGTGTCTGAGCTAGAGGGCTGGATTTTCATGTTTCACCAAAATCCCATTGATATATCTAACAGGGTTTTTTGGAGGTACTTTTTTTTAAAAGTCAGATCTTGTGTACAAAATTTACTCTAGTAAATTTGCTCTCCTTAGAATCACTAACACTCTTCTCATGGCAGCAGATTCTGGTTTAATTTCTCTTCTCATCCTCCTCGATCTCAGTGTGGCGTTTGATACCATCTCCCACAACATCCTTCTCTGCAGACTTTCATCCATTGGCATCACCCATACACCCCTCGCTTGGTTTCAGTCGTATCTCTCTGGCTGCACTCAGTTCATCCAACTTAAATCATTCAGATCCCACTCCTCCCCTGTCACTTCAGGTGTGCCCCAAGGCTCTGTCCCGGGGCCCCATCTTTTCATCATCTACTTTCTCCCACTTGGCAATATCTTCCGTAAATTTAACATTCACTTCCATTGTTTTGCCGACGACACCCAGCTCTTTTTATCCACTGCACCTAACTCTTCACTTCCTCCTTCCTCCCTCACTTCCTGCTTAGCTGAAATTAAATCCTGGTTTACATCTAACTTCCTTAAATTAAACAGTGATAAAACAGAGTTTCTACTCATCAACACTAAATCCACCATATCTAAAGTTAACAGTTTTTCCCTCACCATTGACAGCTCCAGGGTTTCTCCCTCCCCTCACGTCAAGAGTCTGGGTGTCGTTCTTGACTGCACTCTCTCTTTTCACTCTCACATCAATAATATCACATGGTCTGCATACTTCCACCTTCGAAACATCAACCGTCTCCGTCCATCCCTCTCCCCGCACTCTGCTTCCATCTTGGTCCATAGTTTGGTCATTTCTCGAATTGATTACTGCAACTCTCTCCTTTTTGGTCTGTCGCACAAATTACTCTGTAAGCTTCAAATGGTTCAAATTTCATCTGCCCGCATCGTTACCAAAACCCCCTCATTTCATCACATCACCCAGTTTTACAGCAACTTCACTGGCTTCCAGTCACTTTCAGAATTCAATTGAAAATCCTGTTGTACACATTCAAGGCCATCCATCCATAACCTCGTCCCTCCCCATCTGTCCGATCTACATTATCACCCATTCACGCTCCCTTCGTTGTTCTTATTAAAAGCCACAGCATTCTTGATTGATCCCCACATTATGGTGTTATACTTCTCCTTTTTAACTTTAAATCTGTGCTACAGGACACAGGACGAAACTTATTTACTGAATAGAAATGAGGGTGCGTTAATGTTTATGCAGTAATTATTTATCAAAACAATAAGATATACTGTTTATATAGTTCCAACAATACATACATATTTTTCCTAAAGTTTTTTTGTTATTGCTAGACTGGAGGAATATCAGTGAAATACCAGAGAAATCAACAAACAGAACCAGTATGGTCCAACATTTCTTGCAGTGACTCTTTAAGATAAGAGATAAGATAGAACTTTATTGATCCTGCAAGAAATGTTTGTGTTTCAGGTTCAGAGGCAGTTTGCACTGTCATGTCCTGTTTGTGAAGGAAGTCCAGTTTCGTGGTATTTGTAGTTGTATACTTTTTTTTTTTTTTTTGCTTTCTCAGCTCAGATGACTTCTCTTGTGTCTGTCTCACCAGCTGTGAACTTGTCACAGTTCCCTTTTTTATTTTCTTGTAGAGTTATTTCTGTGTAACGGTCGGGTTTAAGATTAAAACGAAAGTCTGGAGTGTCAGCGTTTGCCTCAAACCACTGAAACCAGACTGAAAAAAGTTGGGTTTTAATGTT